AACATGCCTTTACAACCCTCTAGTAGATGCCTTTACAACCCTCTTATTCTGGGGGCAGCTGGAATTGACTGATACATTACTCTATGCAGTTTTAACTGTAATAATTAATCCACTGAATCGTTGTCCTTATTTTTGTAAGGATTGATATTCTGGAAATGCATTCATATAAATCTACATAACCAAAGATGGACCATTCTCTAAAGCTATTTCCTCTATGTACGTTTCTGAGCTACTGCAAGCTGCAATATACATAATCGTCACAGCTGTGAGGGCTGGAGGAACCTAAACACTGAAAGCCCATTCCTAAGATTTATTGTAGATGCAATCGTTCCACATCTTAACCTGCAACTAAATCTTATACAATTTGTTTATTTATTACGTCATACAACTTACCAGTGCATGTCCTTCCATCGCCTGAGTATCCCGCTTTACAAGCGCATGCGTACGAACCTAAAGTATTGCTACACATTGCATTGACGTCACAGCTGTGAGTGTTGGCAGAACATTCATCGATATCTGCATATGAACATGTAGTTAAAGTTGTTGTAAGAATTTTAAAAGTGGTAGTTTAATGTATTCTTGGATATGATAACAACTTGTTGCATGTTTAAGTGGCTGACACAATCGTGACATCACAGTTTATGAGTTCTTACGTGACACAATTACATTATATAGAGGATGTATTGCGAAAGACACTTTTAACTATATGTTTTAAACATACATCACTCAGCTCACCAGTGCATTTCCTTCCATCGCCTGAGTATCCTGCTTTACATGCGCAGGCGTACGATCCCATAGCATTCCTACACACTGCATTGACGCCACAGTTGTGAGAGTTGGCAGAACATTCATCGATATCTGCATCATTATGAACATGTAGTTACAGTTTATTAAGTTTGGCAAATGTGACTTAAGGCAACATGAAATATTGTAAATTTCTCCTAATTTCGTACCTTTGCAGGTTCTTCCATTTCCTGTGTAACCAGCTCTGCATGTACAAGTGCGGGAGCCTACAGTGTTTTGACAGGCAGCGTTTACGTCACAGGTCTTAGCGCTTGTTGCGCACTCATCTAAGTTAAGCAAATAAATTTAAAATCAAATAGAATAGATAGAAAAGAAACAAGACTATCAAAAGGTAAAGAATTGTGATATTACATCAATCATCAATAATAAAACATAAATATATAGAAATACAAGTAAAAAATAATTATTTAAAAATTAAAGTTAAAATTCTGATCGCAATATTTTTATTATATACATTATTCTGACAGAACTTTAATTAAAAAGTTCTTAGAATAAGAAAGTCTTTATTAAAGTTTTCAATTTTGAAATGTCATCATGATTACGTATGGGTTCTGGCAGTGAGTTCCAAATTGAAGGTGCTGCAAATGAGAATGATCTACAGCCATATTTTTTCAACTTTGCTGATGGTATTATCAGGAGCCTCTTAGAGGCAGATCTTAAGCTTCTTGATGGTCTGTAGGGTTCAACATTTCTGTTATATAGGAAGGTGCTAACCCATGTAAGGCTTTAAAGGTTAACAGACAGGTAATTTTGTGCTTGTAACACGGATTTCTTTTATTCTTCTGTAGTTGGGGTAGCTGTGAAACAAGCAAAGACGTAAATACAGAAAACAGACAATGTATACCTTTCGTGTATTTTCTGGAAGAAACGATTGTTCACAAAAACTTAATTAATATCTCCATACTTGCATAAATTACTAGGCTTTTAGTAATGACGAAGAAAAACAATTGCAGTCCCTGCAGGCATTTGATCATGCATTTTAATTTTTCTGGATTTATTTATTTATTCTGTGATTGCCAGACTCACTTTTAAATGGTTCTTTTAGTTCGATTCTATTGTTGTTCTTTCTCTGCACGCTTTGCTTCATTCTTTTACACTTCTATAGTTCTTAACATATTTTTACACTTGACACATATATATGCTAATTCTTTTAACTTTTTACTTACTTGAAAATGACCGAAGATCGGTTGAAACGTCTTTTTACTGTGTTAAGTTTAAAAAAAAAACCTCACTTGATTGCCAGAAAGGCTGAGAAATTCGTCCATTAGCATAGGCAAGCATAGCGATAGTGGTGATGCTGACAAGGCAGTAAAATGGTTTCAACATTGTTGAGGGCAGACCGTTGAGGCGTCCTTGCCAACTTTCAGTGCCGAGTCCAGGGAGGGGCACATGGGGCCCGCCCCCTACCCCTTATTTCTAGACCAAACTGAGGCCCGAAAGGGCCGAAGAAAATGTTTTTGAAGACCGACCCTCCTCCCGCCACCCCATCTTTTATCAAGGTCTGGATCCGGCACTGATATTGTTCTCAAAAGTCTAAATCCTACGTAGATTCTCTCGTCCAGCGTAAAATACGTTGTGTGCCTTTAAAAAATACTCTCTTGGTACAAAGGTTGACTGGTTGCTTTATAAGGTGTGGCTATCTTACCTTATTTAACTGTCATTTGGTTTAAAGCAAGCGATACTTGAAGGCATCATGAGATAGGGCAAATTTACTCACTTTAAAAAACGGGCGATTAAAAAATATTTGCATATTGATGTATCAACTGAAAATCGACTTTTAGTCCCAAACCGGAACCACCTACCGGCTGAAGAAAAAACTGTCAATCGCTCAAGACATTTTAGTCAAAAATCTAGTCTTGTATTCACACACAAGTAAAGATATCATTCATTGAGTCAACAATTTTTTGCGACCTTTACATCGTTATTCTTACCTAGATCGAGTGTAGTCTTTGTTTGGATGCTATAAAATGTTAAAAGTTTCGCTTCACAGATTTAATCCCCAAAATCAGACATCCTGAGTGAGGAGATCTTTAGCGTTCCATTTTCAACTTTCATTCGTTGTTTCTCCCAGGCTCCTCCGATACGTCTCCACGAAACTGAGGCTTGACTCGTAGAAGTGCAGTCTAGAGACAAATCTTCGCCGAGAACTTTTGTAACCACGCTAGGTGGTTTTACGGTGAACTTTGGCCTAGACCAAACGACCAGAGTCGTTATCTTGGACGCCTGTCCCAGACGGTTTCTGGCTGTGCATTCATAAGGCCCCGAATCGCTGCTCAGGGCAGCTTGCACAGTTAAGGATCCTGTGTGGAATACAGCTCTGTTCCTTGGGAGGTAGCCGGTTAACTTTCTCCAGGTCACAGCAGGTGCGGGAAATCCAGTCACATGGCATTTCGGGAGCCTGATGTTTTGTCCTGCTTTAGCATGAGTGGGACCTGGGGCTAGCTGAATGCGAGGAGGAGCTAAATAAACAAAAGTATTTATAATTTAATCAAGATAAATAGCGTCAGCTAAATTGCAATTACCAGATTGGATTCTTTATTCTTTATTCTCAGATTGGATTCTTTATTCATGAAACAAGGAGTGCAATGTCATAATTAAGACCAATAAAACAGACATTACACTACCAGACTTTCAATGGTTATCTTCCTTTTACCTTCAACCTGCAGACTAGCGGAGATGTTTGCCGAACCAAGTGCACTCCTTGCAGCACAGATGTATCTTCCAGAGTCTGCAAGAGTCACCTTACGCACCACCAGTTTTCCATTTGGCTCAAATTGGAGGCTATCCGACAAGCCAGACCCATGGGCCTGTGACCACGTGATCGTTGGTCGTGGATTTCCGGTCGCGGAACACTGGAATACCGCATTCTGGTTCTCCCTGACAGTTAGTTTCATAGGTGATATCGTAACCACCGGGGATGAAATTGATTCTCCCGGTTCTCCCTTCGCACCAGGCAATCCCCTAGGTCCGGTTCTCCTTTAACACCTTGCTCTCCTTTCAGCCCGTGTGGACCAACAGGTCCTTGTTTTCCGTGTGGCCCTGGATCCCCTGTTTCTCCCCTTACACCTTTTCTTCCTGTGACTCCACGAGGACCCCTTCGACCACGTGATCCTTTAGGACCCTGCCTTCTGGGCGGACCATGCAAACATATTTTTTCATTCCTTGAACAAAGTACTTGTGGTTTTAGTGAAAGAAAGGTCTTGTTTATCTCCCTTTTGACTACTTCGATAGTGAGCCTTTGATCTGCTAGACTTTCAGAAGCCAAACGACGGGTTCTCAACTTTTGAATGTTATCTGCCAATAAAATACAGTTAACTGTTAATCGTAGTGAACAAATACTTGATTGAATTAACTTAGTAACTTTTACTGAGTTTTAAAGGAAGCTGTTTCCGTCAGTTTCGTCCTGAAGCGAGCCGATCGCTGAAACGTTTCCATACCGCTTATGGATCCAATACATCTTTTCCGTATCCTCACCCGGGCACGACGCCTTATCCGAGTATCGACCGAATTTTGACCGAATAAAGCCGAGTATCAAACGAGATCAACAATACATGGGTACGCAAGACTCAGGTCGCCATTGTTGAATTCAGTTATTAGAAAAATGTCGAAATGCTTTTGAAATTATACTCTTTGGCATTTCATCCCAACCGCAACGTTGGCGGGAATTGAAAGTAAGGCAAGTCATTTCCATACACAAAATGGTACCCTCAATCCCCTTTGCCAATTCCAATCAGCTTCATGAACTGACCGCCATGCGCCATGTTTTATAATGATATACATTCTAAAGGGACGCTTAGAATTCGCCGTTTTGGGGGATTAGTTTTTTTTTTTTTTTTTTTT